ACCCCCAGGGGGAGGGCCTTCTCTGTTGGAGCCCCCACCCTTTGGAACGAACTACCCCCAGAGATCCGGGTGATTCCGGATCTCCCCTCCTTCCGCCGCGCCCTCAAGACATGGCTATTTAAGCTAGCCGGACTGGCCTAAGGGGTATTTTAATTTGGTTTTAAAATAATTTTAAAAAGAAATGGCCAATAATGAATATTTCATTTTAATCATATTTTAAAATTAGTATTATTGTATTAGTTATCTATTTTAACTGGCTGTAAGCCGCCCTGAGTCCGTTAGGAGAAGGGCGGGGTATAAATTTGATAAATAAATAAACAAATAAATAAAAATAAATAATATGATTTAAACAGGCTTTCTAAGTTCTGAACTTTATAAATTATTGTTGCATACTGAGATCTAAAGCAATTTATGGTATTAGGGATTTCAAAAGAGCATATGCTATTGAGGTGAGTCTATTTTTTTTCTAGAAAAATTTGCAACTCCTGAACTAGCCAATGCTACAGCTAAATCTTGTACTACCAGTTTAATTTTCTAATAGTAAACCAGCATTTTAGGGAGAATTTGCCCCTTCAGAGTCATATGCATATCTTCATCCAGATGACTTGAAATAAATTTCATTTCCACCCAACACAAAAAATGGCACCATTTACCACTGTGGGACATATTTAATATTTAAAAATGCCGTTTTGTGACCATAATTGTGTAGTAACAGTGGAATAACATTATTTGAAGACAGCAAGTTATTTCTAAATTATGTATGAAATTTAAACCACAAAATTATTGCATTTATTCTTTTAGTCTAACTAACATGTTAAGACAGAATTGCTGCTTTTTCTGAATTGTACTGGAATGTAAACATGAGCATCCAAATTCTATATTTCTTTAAGGCAGAACAGCAAAACCAATGCAGAAAAGCAATTGGATTACTATTTTGAAATTACATTTTTTAAGTCTATTGTGGTATAAAAAGTTGTATTGTATCCATGTAGATAATTATCCTAAATCTAGTGCCATATTGATAGTAGAGTCAGATTCTAAAAAGAAATGACCAACTGCTCTTACTATTAAAATTCTAGAGAAATTGTCATCATCAATTTGGCTGTCTAGGTGACATTTTTCTAGAAAAAGGCCAAATTCCTTGAGATTGCAGCATAAACAATCAAGAAGGACCAGTCCAATGTAAGAATTGGGTAGGGTAATCATTGCTGATAAATCTGTCCAACAAATATTAATTAAGCCAACTAAATGTTTATAATAACATACTCAATATAATCTCCTATTTGATTGCCGAGACAGTAAAGGAGAAATTATGTTTAGGTCAGGAAAAGTGTGGGAAAGTTTAGGAAAAAATACTTTATCATTTAACTCCATTTAAATCACCATTACAATTGCAAAATCAAAAGTTATTTAGGTAAACTTCTACAGATAGTCTTGACTTGCAACCACAATTGGGACCAGAAATTCCATTGTTAGGCAAACAGTCGTTAAGTGATTCATGCCTGATTTTACAATCTTTTTTGCCATGGCTGTTAGGCGAATCACTCAGTTAAGTGAATCATGTGGTGTTGAGCAAATCCAGCTTCTGCCATTGACTTTGCCTGTCAGAAACCGGCTGGGAAGGTCATTAATGGAGATCACATGACCCTGGGGCATTGCAACTGTCATAAATATATGCCAAGTACTTGAATTTTAATCACGTGATTGTGGGGAGGCTACAATAGTTTAAATGTGAGTACTGGTTGAAAGTCATTTTTTCAATCCTGTTGAACAGTCACTAAATGAATGGTCGTAAGTTTAAATCCATCTGTACTTAGGCTATAAACTGTTAATTTGGAGTAGATTTTCCAAAGATAGCTACGTACTTTTCCACTAGCACAATGTTAACAGGACAGTCATTGAACAATACAGCCATGTCAAGTTGTTTTAATACATTTCTAAAGTCTACCTCATCACTAACTCTCCATCTCTAATGCTACATCACTCCTTAAATCCTCCTCATTGCATCTTCTCCAAATTTATTTAAAAGGCTCTAATTCTCTTGTGAAAGTTGTGAGAGATTGAATTTGTCCTTCCAGTGGTGCCTATTTTTTTGGTACAAAGATATCATCAGACCTCTCTAAATGCATATTACAGGTCATATTTCTGAAGTCAGACTACGTGCCTGAACCTTACCAGAAGCATTGCAAGCTCAATACTGCCCCATTTCAAGCTTAAAAACATTTTCAGTGAATAATCTGTGTTAAACTGAAAGAACTGTTTTATGTTCTACGTGGAACATTTCAATCTCAAAATAGTTTGTATTTAAAACTTTTGCATATACTTAGTTTAAATCATCAAAGAAAATATGTAAAGTTTCTTTATGAGATTTGTGGGATAGACAGAGCATATTTTTTATTATTAAGATACAAAAGAACATTGACTATAAAATGGCATATTTATTACAGTTGATAGGCAACTGTTTTTTTTTAAATGGCACTATATAATTTCTTACTGAAGCAAATTTTAGCTGTGATAGCAGCTAATATGATTGATGTTAATAATAGGGGGATAACAGAGTCACCATTAAGATCCCATTAATATGCAATTATCGTCTATTAGTAATTATTTATTTGATGGGTAATTAGAAATTTCCAAGCATATATAAGATATTAGCATAACTTTGAACACAAATCATGGATTCGAGGATGAAAAAACTGTAAATGGCTACAAATTATGAATTTACATTATTTATGGATCAGAAATATTAAGCTTCCATATAGTATTTACTGAGAAATTGAATTTTAGGGTCTCTCAATGTGATGAAATGTGCACTGCAGAACAGTGAGGGAAACATTAGACAACTAAAAGCTTTCCCAGAAAAAAAAACCCGATTAAGGGACTGTGCAGCCTAAAACTGGATGAAGAAGAGGGGAAAAGGTTCAGGATAGCCACATCCTAGAATTTCTAAGGATACATTTAAGAGGAAAGAAAGTTATAGAATTAGTTTGGTAAGATTCTGCCTATTAGGTAATAAGCTACTAAAGGACTGGATTCAATTATCTTGCCTCTGCCCTTGGGCCTAATACTCAACACGTTTCAGTCTGAAATTATTAATACTAAATATCACAAATACTTTTCATATAAAAGACCTAGAACATAACCTTACATAACAAGTACCTGGCTCATATCCCATATAGATGCTTGATTTTATGGTATCTTCTGCTCTTGCAGAAAACTGAGATTTTGGTGACTGATCTAGAAGTTTCACAACAAGGTGTCCAATTGTTTCTTCTACAGCTGCAGTAGTCTTCACAATATCCAATAGAATCTTCATCAGCCTACTACTGGCTTTCTGCAACGTACATCTGAACTCATAAAATAAAAAATAATTCAAATTAAATACATTATGGTGTTTATTTCCACAGTTTGTCTTTTACACAAAAACTAAGACTCATAGCACTATTTAGTTAAATCACTTGGAACAAGACAGGAATTAAAAAAAATAGGAGTGGATTATTTTACAATTTAGAAATTATGAATTGGAATTATATTGAGTTAAAATATTTATAGTATCGGAATGTGTATAAACTTTAGAGAACATTAACAAATAAGATTACCAATTTGCTAAAACTAAAATCAAAAACTGTTTACTGAATCCTACCACAATTTCCAATGGCTCATAAAAAGCTTTTTCCTCAGAGATAATGGCTATTACATTTGACCTTAGATAACGTACCATGATCAAGAAAACATCAAATATTCTCTTGAAAGAAATGTACTTTAATGATCTCCCAAAATGGATATTTACTAAGCAATTGTTGTTACAAATTATTTTTCAGAAAATAGTCACTACAAAAATATTCATGTATTAAAATATTTAATAGCTAGAATTCATTTACTACCATAACATATATGATATGTAATGTGATATATATCAACTGAGCTTACTGAATTAAACGGAAGTTAATTCCAAATGAATAAGCATGTATACAGTATATGCCAGATAATTTCTTTATATAGGGATTAATAATTTGTAAAGTTAGATCCCGGAATGTGTGATCATGACTACTATCCTAGGCACACATATAAATCCATGGCAGATAAAGCAATCACTAGCTATATTTTATGGCTATCGTGTATGTGTGTGTGTGTGTGTGTGTGTACACACACACACACACACACATATATACTGTATATATATTACAATTTTAGAAACAGATTGCATTCCTAGTCAAGATTCATATATCTAAACATCAGAACTGTGTTTATGATTTGGAAGAAAATTTCACTACACTAAAACATGCTTGCTTTTAATTAAGGGACGAAAAATAAGTAATAGGAATAAATTAATTCCTATTAATAAGAATCCCATTAATAATTAATAGAATAAATTAATTCCACTGAAATGACAGAAAAATAGAAAAAAGAAATAATCTAAACATTTTAGCCTTTCTGACAGCTCACCTCTCTTTTGAAAGAATATCGAGAGAAGTTTGTTCCTGTTTTTCTTCCCCATTTTCACCATCTAAAATATGCTCTTCATTTTCAGTCTGACTTACACTTTCATTCTGGTTAAGTTTTGGTAATGGGAGAGAAGAAAAAAGAGACAAAAATCCTGTCATACTGCAATCACCATATGTTCTTTTTCATGCAGATATGCAGATGTTTATAAAATAATAATTCACAATTTTCAAGCGATTCTAAATAATAATTAACTATCTTGTTATCGGACATCTAGTTCTGGAAAGGGAAGAAATTTAGTCACAGCCCATGAGAATTAAATAGTTATGCTAAGTAAATAACTTCTTGCTTCCCTGTAGGATGTTACTATAGCAATATTAAAATCAGACTTTATTTTCAATAGAATATCAGCTAAACTCCACCTCCCTATGTGATCAACACCCATTTAAGTAAATCTGACAATCATCTGGAAACGACCTACACTGCCTAGTCACAGGACCATTGTGTTTCTATACCAGAGCAGCAAAAAACAATCCAAGTTACCACTACCTGTGTTTGAGTACTGCTGTTTTTTAACTCAGAGAGTTGTTTTTCTCTCCCAGTTATTAATTGCTTCTTTAGTGATTCTAGTTCATGTAAAAGCATTTGTTCTCTTTCTGTTACGGCATTTTCATTAATATTCTAAAAACAAAATAAGACGTCTCATATTAGAAACAGTGCAAATGCAACAAAATCAAGATTTATAAATAAATGCAAGCAAAATATAATAGAGTGGCAGTTCTATGTGGTATCAGATTCTCCCATATAACTTAAGATAATAAATACCCCAGCTCACTGGGATTGACTTATCTCTTTATTTGCATACAAGAGATAAAATTAATGATATATGGGATATTGTTAATAACTACAAATAGGTTTCATCCTCGCAGTAAATGCAGCACATGAAATGTATTGCAATTAAATTTATGATTTTTAAGACAAATTGAGCTTTGAAAATTGGCCAAATACATAAAATATTAGAAGTTCCAGTCCACAGGTTCACATTACCTCTGCTAACTTTATTTTAAGAACATCAAGCTCTGCTAGGAGAAGTTCTTGATTTTCTTTCTGCCTCTCCATTTGCTGCATGTGACTCTGTTTTAATATTTCTGTGGCCTGCTGATATTCTTGATGCTGACGAACAAATTCTTGACGCATATCTTCCAGACACTCCTCATAAGACAGTATCTGGCTTGAAGTAACTTCATTTGTAATCTGTAATTTTTGTTCGTAAGTGTTAAAAATAGAGTATCAGCCATGAAAAAATTGTCATTTTATAATAAGCAATTGTAGAAGTGGACACAGTTATAAAAAGTAGTTGCCCTAAAGATGTATTACAATGGCAAACAGAAGATCCTCAACCTGTATTTTTTACTGTTATGCTCAGTAGAAATGTTTGCTGGGTAAATTAGATAAAATATAAGAGGGAGGAAGAATTGTTAAGAAAAAGAATGGAATACAGATAGTCCTCGAGATACGACAGGTCACTTAACTTAATTCAAAGTGAGAACCATGTCCCAAAATTACATATGACCCTGTTTCAAATTTACGATGACTGCAGCATCCCCGTAGCCATTCACCTTTATGATTGACCAGCGGAATGCAGCAGCATTCCCTGCCTCTCTCCCCTTCTCCCACCCCAATAGGACCTTGCAGCACTTGGTCTGCTCCCCATGCCTCCTGGAAACAGATGCCATTTTCAGCACTCCAACAATTCCCTGTGGGAATCGTGGCTCATTTTGGAGCTTTCTGACCCGATTAGCTGGCTGTCAAGAGACTGCAAACCTTTCCTGTCTTTTGCTAGGCTTTGGAAACAGACAGGGGTTGCTGCTACATGCCCATGGTCAATCATAAACTTCCTGATCTTCCCCTCCACCCCCCACACACATACGCAGACACCATTAGGTGCTAAAAAAGTAAAGTCTCCATCCCTTTTAAAAACCTTGACCACAAGATGAAGAGTTAAGGGAAGGAAGGAAGCAAAGAAAATCTTTCTGCAGCTTTTTGCCTTGAGCTGAAGAAAAAAATGCAACTTAAAAACTTTAAGCCTTTAGGACCCAGCTTTTTGTTCTTTTTCTGACTGACTTTAGGACCCAGCCAGGACTCTAAATGCAAGTCCTAATTGGGTCCTAAAGTCAGCCAGACAACCAAAGAAATATCCATTTTCTGCCCCGTTTGCTGAACATATATGAGTGGATTTTTTTTTTCTATAGGTCCCATAGGCTAAAAATTTCATTTTCCTATTGCAGAAATGTGGTTTTCTGGGGAGGAAAAGAGTCAAAGCAAGGGAAAGGTTTTGAGGAGCTTGTCCTGAAGCTACTGCCTTTGCATGTAGAGGCTACCTTCCCAAAGCCTAGCAAGAGCCAGGAGAGATTTGCAATCTCCCGGTGACCAGCTGATCATCTCAGAAAGCTCCAAAAGGCAAGGGAACTGTCCATTTTTTGCTCCAGAAAGACAGAGGTACCTTGGCAGAAAAAAAAGGCAGCAGCAGAATCAGGGGAAAAAGAGCTAGCTCCTTTTGCCTAGGAGGTATTCTCCTTCCTTTTTGAAAGCAAGCACCATTTTGAAGGGCCCACAATTCATTACAGCCCTCTGAAAATGGCACGTGATTCCGTGTCATAGGCATGAAGTCTAGGCTGCTGCTGGAGCTTCCAGAATGTGGTGTAAGGTAATGGGTAAACAGCGAAAGAGGTGGGGATGAACATGAACTTCAAAGGACATAAGAGTGGAGTTTGGGGTATCTCAGGGGAGTGGAGAAGCCCTTCAGAGGCCTGAGGCAGGTGGACTTGTGTCTGCACTAGCCCTACCAGGATCTCCTCTACCTTGAAGCAACCCATGCTCCACATAACAACCCAAACATTGATTTAACAAGTGCAATGGGGAAAACAGGGATGGCTGATCATTACTTGAGGCAGTTCATTTAATATTTGTCCTGACTTCCAACCCTAAAGGGCAGGCTTCATTACAGTCATAACTCGAGGACTACCTGTAAAAGAGAATAGAAGCATAAATCTTCGATATGATAACATATCTTGGTTATAGGTAGGAAACAGAGTTCTAAGTTTTGTATTGGCCGCTTTCAATGTTTTGTTTGTTAGAAATCATTCCATTATATTTTAATTTCTGCTTACTCAAGTCTTCAGTCCAAATAAAATGCATATTTCATTTTGTTTAGGAAATTACTTTTAATAAACTGGAGGAAGGGGAGATATGTCCCAAACTAGTAATGATATCTGAAACATAAATATAACTTTCCCTTAATACAAAAAGCAGACCACAGCATTTTGCTGTATGCTGCAAAATGTAGTAACTAAGGAGCAAGCCCTGTTCACCACAGTATGACTTATTTCTAAAAAAAAAAAACACTCACAGGAATCCATTACTTGGTTTTGTTTGGTGTATGCGTGTATATTCTTTTTACACTTTTAAAATTTAGTTCTAAGATGAAATTTATCTATATACTTATTTAGAAACACTGAATTAATTCAATATTAAAAATTTATAACTTAAGGTTTTTCTCTTAGGTCTCAAACTTTGTTTTATACAAAATTATAAAGGGCTGCTGCTAAAAATTGAATTACAAAAAAAAATTATCTATTCCTTCCCCTCCCCCAAATATTGTTGTGATGCCTCATTGTGATGGTGGGGATATTTCCGGAAGTGAACAACATATGGAATGTGTGCTCAGAGTATATATTCTGAACAGAGTTACCAAGGCACAAAGATCATTCCATTTCCACCTAAAGGAAGCAGGCACTTGTATTGGACAGCTGTGACACAGGAAAATGGCAGAACTAGATGATCATTTTAATGACAATGAAACACCATCAACTCATACTGAGAAGAAGGTAATGGCAAACCACCCCTGTATTTTTACCAAGAAAACCACGTAGATAGTAAATACAAAGAGAATTTTGTATTTACCTAAATGGTTGCTAAGAGTCAACAATGAAATAGATCATTTTCTGCTAACAGGAGGAATTAAATCATATTTTGTATTAAAATGTTGCACTTCATATAGTGTTATATGAGAATAGATTTCCTGAGTTCTTCCTATTTTAACTTCTTTGACTTATGATTCTGATTTGTTATAACATGCCAGAGACCCCAATTCTTATGCATGTATCAGAATTCTTCTGCATTATAAGAATGTATAAACCACAGACACAATTTGTTTAGCTGACTATTCTAAAGAAATCTGATTATTATCATGTAACAACCATGCTAACAAGACTTTTGCTATTATGCACAGGTGAAAGTAAAAAAGAATCTCAAAAAGTTAAACTGTATTCTTAAAATTTATTTACCATAGGTATCTTTTCAATAAATTCTTCTTCATGGGAGGAAGAGTATGTTGAAAGTTTTGTATTAAAATGTTGCACTTCATATAGTGTAGCTTGTTTAGCATCAAGTTCAAATTGTCCTTGGAATGATGACATTTTATCACACAACTCTTCAGGCTCAGTGTATGTTTTCTCATTTACGTGACTATTTAATTCTTCTAGATATTCATTTCTATGACAATTATTTTCCAGCTGAGTTCCCATTGGTTTCATCAGTGAAATTTCCTCTTCATTTAGATTAGCAATTCTTGCTAGTTCAGTTTTCTGCGCAAATTCTATACTCATGGTTACAACCACCTTAATAAAAACATTGAAACACAAAGAAGAGCTACTTCATTCTTGCTTCCATATAAATTAATGAGTAATTTATTTCCACAAATTAAATATAAGCCAGCAGCGTGGTACAGCTAATAAGACAAATACTAACTTGAAGTGCATTATCACGAACAGTCTAAATCATAGGAAATAACTGTTCCACTCTACTCTGCCCTTGATGACTTTGCCCTACTCATTTGGAATATTGTGTTTACTTATAGGCACCATAATTCAAAAAGGATAGTGACAAATAAAAGTAGGTTCAGAGGAAAGCTACTAGGAAAGTTAAAGTTATGGAAACCAAACCATGAGGATCAACAAAAGAATGTTGGTATCTTTAGCCTACAGAAAAAATAAAAGGGACAGAACAGCAATTTTCAAATATGTGAAGTGCTGTCACATGAGGAATCAATCAAAGAGTTAACGGGCTAAAATCACCACACAGGAGGTTCAGGCTAGACACCAGAAAATGCTGCCACATTATATTATGAATTTATCCTAGATAAATGACTTCAGAGGTTGGATAGTTATCTATCAGAGATGTCCAGTGCAGCCTATACTGAGCAAAAAGGATGAACTAGATCAGCGGTCTCCAAACTTTTTGGTTTGGCAGTCTGGCGGGGGGAAAGGAGAACCGGCCCACCACTGATGCAAGTTGAGCTGTTCAAGCGCACATGCATCGGCCTGCCACTTGCACAAGTTGAGCTGTGTACATGCATGCTGGCCCATAGTTTGTGCAAGTTGAACTGTGTGAATGTATGCACCAGATGCTTGCGCAACCTGGTTCTGAACAGACCACGGTCCAGAAATGGGCTGCAGCCTGGGGGATCCCCGAACTAGATGATATATAACAATTTTACTAAATATATGAGTCTCTGCAAGGGAAACAGCTAAACATAGAGCTTCCAAAAGAGTGATCAGAATTTAAAAGTAAATGACAAAATGATATATGAAACTGAAATGAAGTAATGTGGGAAGGATGTTTTATATATCTGTATGGAAATGATACGGTAGTATTATGTTGAATGTTGGAAATAAAATGAAAGGTTTATATGTTAAGTATCGAACTAAAATACTGTGAAAATATTGAACACATAATAAGGTTTTATAGTATATATGCATGCATACACCACTCACATAAGAAGGAAAATGTTGTGAGTGTTGTAGATTGGTGGTGTCATATTATAATGGTTCCCATAGTCCTTCTTCCTAAAAGGATGAATGAAATTATCTGGGAAGGAGAATTGGGCTCAATGAGTAGTCCCTTGTTGAGTCTTACAGGGGACCATTTTCTCTGCTGTACAATTTAATATGTACATGAGCATATTTATGAAGGTTATCTATGTACATGAGCATATTTATGAAGGTTATCTACACTCCAGACAGGATTAGAAATACTGTGAAAGTTTTCATCCAGCACCTAGAGGTTATGGGATTCTGAATAAAATAAAACAAAGGTGAAGTTGAATCCTAAGAAAAAGGAAGGTCAGCTCCAATTATACGTACACCCGTCAAATTCTATTGGATTCACCATTACTGCTGGATAGAAAGATAGAGACTATGGTTAGGGGGCTTTTGCTGAGATTTGGCTGGTGTACCAGTTGTGGCCCTACATGGAATGGGAGGACATGGCAACAATTCCTGTTTTCATTAGAAACAGAGTAATCCAGTGCAATGTACACTATATAGGACTATCTTTGAAGGTATTTATAAACTGCAATTGATACAGAATATCTGCATGACAGATGCTACAACCACCAGCACTTTCATAGATTTTCAAGTATAATTCAAACTACTAGTTTTTACCATTAAAACTCTACGTGGCTTGATTCTTAGCTACTTCCAGAATCAGCTCCATTCAATACTCTCATCCCAGGATGTTGAGTGTCACTTAGTTTTATGTGAGTATGTACATCCAGAGATAATGTTTGATGACAGCTCCCACTTTATGGAATTCCTCCTGCAATTTGGGACCATCTGCCTAGAAAGCTGTTAAAATGCATTTTTTCAATGGGCCTTTGAATGTTAGTGTTGCCCTCATTTGAGCGCAGGGAGCACCTGTGATTACTCTATTGTATTGCATACATTTTTATTATTATTTTTATTGGTTTTAAACTTTCCTATGGTGTGCTAATACAAATGTACCTTTGCCACTTCTTGTAACAGCTTTTCTTGGTACTGTTTTTCCAGTAATTCAGTTGCATCACCTTCATTAGATAACTGGGGGGGAAAAAGTGGTCATTCTTAATAACATCAGTTCTGAACATGTTTATGTCACAAATGATTATATATTTTGAATACCAACCATATAGAAATATAATGGATAAAAATACCATTTTGCCTTAAAAGAGGTAATAATGGAAACTACATTAATACTACATTATTACTAAGTGCTTTCCTCAAATAATAAAAGCTCAATACTCTTACACTTATTGTAGCGCAATGTTTTGTAGATAGAAATCTAATCCATCTAATCTAATAAAGCCAAGAAAAAAGCAGCTTTTAGGTACTGAAAAATATATATTTGGTATAAGAAAACAGAGCTAATTGCCTTTCTAAAAGTAATGCTAAAAGCTTTTCACATACGAAGATAGAGTCACTAGAGCAGTGTTTCTCAACCTTGACAATTTTAAGGCATGTGGACTTCAACTCCCAGAATTCCACAGCCAGCATGGGAGTTGAAGTCCACATGCCTTAAAATTGTCAAGGTTGAGAAACACTGCACTAGAGCCTCAAGGCTAAGGAAAAAATGGCTTCAGCATCATACAAAAAAAACAACAAACCACCCTAATCAATATCAATAAAATTTACAGTCTTTTATAACATTTATATATTTATATATAAATATAATATTTATATTTATATTTGTTATATAATTAGTGTATACACACAAGCACATATATACACGCAACCACACATAATTAATTTATATAATCAAAATGACATGTTTCATTCCAAATGTTTCAAATAATTCTAAAATATGTAGAGGTTTTGTTTGCACTAGGGATTCTGTTTAAGTAAAATACAAATATAAAATACATTTTTATATTTTCTATCCAATATACATTGTGTAAATAGGTTAACATACTACCTCTATTATCTTCTCAACATTTTTTTGAATACCACTTTCAGCATGTCTTGCCTTTTGCTTATCCTCAATTACATGTGACTCCACAGAAACACTAATTAAAAAAAGGTAAGAAAAGGTGAGAATTTGGATGGTTTTTCAATGTAATTTCACTTGAAATTTTTAAAACAGGGAATTTGGACCTGACAATTTCTAACCATAAAGGTGTACTTGAATGGGATTTCACCAGGAATTTTATACTTTTCCAATTTGCAATCCAATATAAGCAGCCTTATTCTTTTCTACATGATCAACACTGAGATGGAACAAAGACTTTTTGATCCTTCAGTTGTTGCTCACACTATTATTGCAGCATTTAAAAAATGCAGTAAGCAGATGTGCAAGAAGGAAATGTAATATGCTATTGTTTAGTTCATTAAATGCAAATCACTCCACCTTCTTTGGAATCCAGATTATAAATTATCCTTGAAGCAGAGGACTGCTCACATATTCCTACAGTTCTCTTTTTAACTTTCTTCAGTCTTGAACAGCAACTTAAATGGAACAATAGGACTTCAATTTCTTGCTGTGTTGATAGGATCCAACACATTTTATTAAAAGACATAAGCTGCAGCTTTTGAAAGATTATATTTCATCAATAAAAGGCAATAACTGTATCTCAAGATTGAACTGTGGGGTCCTTAGTGCTCTCTGAGTTTGACTGTTTTCTTGCAGATATTTCATTACCAAACTAGATAACATTATCAATGCTAGGAGGGAATGGATTTTGCTCTCATTTTATATACCTTCTCAGGGTTAGTGGGAGTGGTCTTGGTGGTTCCTTGATTAGGCCGTTATTTGCTGCTAGCCTGTCTGAGTTGGTAATTCCATGACTGGGCTATTTATTTATTGTGTAGAGCTGTTTTGATCCTTTCATATCCTTTTTGACATTTTGATTGAGTCTTGGAATGGGATATAGATGTTTAGTTGATAGCTGATTTGTCTGAGTGCCAGGCTTCCAAGAATTCTCTGACCATCACGTCTTCTGATTGCTAGTTGGTGTTCATGGATGCATTAGTGTTCATAAACAAGCTAATAGCAGCCAACAGCCTAATCAAGGAATCACCAAAATCATTTGTAAAGGTCACAAATAGCAATCATAGGACTGTGGGATGCTGCAGCTGTCCTAAGTTTGAGGATTAATCATAAACCTACTTAACAGTGTTAAGTTCAAATAGTCACTAAATGGGGAAGTCCTTAACTGAGGTCTAACTTTATTTTAGATTATCATCGTTTTTTTGTTTTTCAGGTTATAGGAACAGTGGGGCAATACAGAAAAGTTTTTTCACCTGAGAAAAAAGAGAATCAGAAAATGATAATCTTTTTTCAATAATGAAAAAATCCTGCAGATAAATATCCTAATTAGGTATTGATTTACACCTAAATTAAAAAAAAGTCATCACATAGTAGACATCATTATTTGGGAAATACAAAATTATACAATATATCAATAGAAAACCTACATTTTTACTTGATAATTTATTAATGAAATAAGTAATAACTTGTATGACAATTTTCATGATAAATATATCTACAATCTTTTTTCTTTGGAATTCCAATGTATATATACATCCCCTTCATTTTATTGATTCCAATGAAGACATAAAGTAATAGACTTTTCTTTCTCTATTCTCCCCTTTACAAACAGGACATATATATATATATATATATAGCTATTATCCTGCCCATCTAACATATAAATCAATTATGATAAATTGCAGGAGTTTTTTTTCAGCGCTAATTGGAAATGCTGCATATTATACTGTATCTGGGATCTTCTGGATGCAAACCCTATGCTCTATAACTGTGCTGCAGCATATACTTCACACTAAATCAGGAATCTCCAAACTCCGGGCTATAGCTCGCCACCAGGTTGCAGCCTGTTCAAAACTGGGCCACACAGGTGGTGGGCGAGCACATGCACTTGTATGAAGTTCCCTTCACACAAGGGGTGGCCATTTTGTGCTCACACATGAAGCTCTCCTTGCATGAACAGTGGCTATCTCCTTGCCCTCACACGAGCAGCAGTCATCTTGCGCTCATACACAAAACTTCCTTTGGGTAAATGATAGCCGTCTTGTACTCACACACAAAACTTCCTTCAAACAAGCATTGAGTCTGCGCGAGTGCTCCATTTGCATAAGTGGCGGGCATGTTCACCCACCGCTTGCTCAAATGCAGCTGCGGGTACTTGTGTGCACTCTGCCTACCACTCACAAAGAACTATCCCCTCTCTCCCCCCCGCCAGGCCTCCAAGCCAGAAATGTTGGGGATCGCTGTCCTACAACATTCAGGACACATGATATCAAGTATAAAGATCCAACTATAGCATCTTTTCCTTCTTTTAAATGAAACATGGCTGGAATTGGGAAAATCTAATTCTGAGTATACAGAAAAACTGTTGAAATCAACTCAAATCATAAAATAAAAATGAGATCCAAAATTATAAATACCTGGAATTTTCAGAAGATTCACTGACAATTTGGAGTCTATTCTGTAGGTGAACCATTTCTGCAAAATATTTTTCCTCAGTTTCTTTTAATTGTTGATGGAAATATGATCGAAGATGCTCAATTTCTTTGGCATGTTGTTCTTCAAGTTGAAATTTCAAATTCTCTACTTCTTCCTGTGAAACTGACTTAACTTCAATGCCTATAAATGAATAAATAATAAACATTAGTTTATTTAATAATAGAAAAATAAGCAACAAATATCAGAATAACATATTTTAAGATTTTATACACACACACACATACAGACATATAGTATTTCAGATATAAGCTGTGACAAAATTATGACCATTCATAGGCAGCCACAGCTTACCATGCCTACAGAGTTCAAATATGAAAATAGACAAGAGCTACTTTGCTTTGCTAAAAAGTATGAAGCTATTTAGTTCTGAATTAATTTTTTAAAACTATGCATATTTTAAGGTATTAAATACATACTCAGGTTATAAAATATAATAAACTAAGATTGTTATACTGTACTATAATTTCCTTTCCTTTTGTATTTCATATGCATAAAAGTTTTTAAACCATACATGTCTATTTATATTAACAATATAAGTCAATAATTTAAGGTGCATATCTTTACCAACTAGATCTTGAGATGCAGTAGGAAAAGATTCTACATTTTGTTGTAGAGAGCAAGTCTCTCTGTCATTATAATCAGCATGGTATGTTTGTTGGTCTTCAATCTGAAAAATTTAAACAAAAACAAAAAATAAAGAAAAATATGTATGTTAATTTTAAAAAAATGGTCAGAGTAATCATATTTGTCAAAAAGTACAAACTTTTCCACCACTATAATGTTCTGAAACTTTTGCACTTCTAACAATGTACTGCTCATAACATATTTCATGAATTCAGTAATAATCACCTGGACACTTGTATATATAATACATAGGAAATATTTATATATCCAATGCTGAAGTTACTATTTCATTATTCAATGGAATGCTATGCTTATTTATACATTTAAAATTAAACAAAACATGAATTTTTATATCTCCAAATATACCAATAAAGTTAATTTTTTAAAAAACTTCTCAGTTTTTATTTTACTAAATATAATTTTATTTATTAGTAAAAAACACCAGCCCGAATAATTCCAATAAGATTTATTTCTTAGTGCACTACACATATTATATTTAATATTTCAAATCATAATATATTTAGGGCATTAGAACATTTTTAATTTAGCATCTTCTGAAAAAAATACATTTTACAAATGTTTGAGAAAGTCTATATTTTCTACACCATTTTCCCCCTCTTATGATAAATATCTCAGGGGTCACCACAATGAAGAAGAAGTTAAGCTATTCTCCAAAGTACCTGAGGGCAGGACAAGAAGCAATGGATGGAAACTAATCAAGGAGAGAAGCAACCTAGAACTAAGAAGAATTTCCTGATTATTAGAACAATTAACCAGTGGGATGACTTGCCTCCAGAAATTGTGAATGCTTCAACACTGGAAGTTTTTAAGAAGAGACTGGACAACCATTTGTCTGAAATGGTATAGAGCAGGAGTCCCCAACCTGCGGTCCACGGCCCACTACCGGACCACAGAACAGACTGGCCAGTGCGCGCACACCACCACTCACACTAATGGGGGCACCATGCAGCCAAAACAAGGCGCCGCTGCTATGCAAACTGAGTGCAGGGCAGCGAAAATGGAGCACTGTGCGGCGCAAACAAGGTGGTGCTAAGGCCTGAGTGGCAAAAACAGTGCGGTGCTAGCGAGTATCACACAGGCACTAGTACCGCCCCACTTACATTGCACATGCTCGCAGCCCCGTTTGTGTGTTTGTGTGCACATGCATGCGTAAAATGCTTCCCCCTCCTTTTCCTCTGGTCAGCCAACTGAGAAAAGTTGGAGACCTCTGGTATAGGGTTTTCTGCCTGAGCAAGGGGTTGGATTAGAAGACCTCCAAGGTCCCTTCCAAATCTGTTATTGTATTGTATTATATTGTATTAAGTAATAAAATTATATTGTAAAAAAGGTTAAGTTCTAGATTTATCAAAGTAAGTTGAACAGAATGAATGCAACCATATCTGGTATTAATAGTTATCTTGAGAAACAGAATACTCGTTTGTGTGTTGATTCAATAGTCAGCCCATTGTAATCTCATAATTGAAAAGACTTCCACAATTAAAAAAATACCAACAGAATTAGAAAACATTCAATCCAAATCACAAAAACAAAATCAGAGAGAAAAAAATTAATAACAAGAAGTACAAGTGATTTACCCAAAGGGTCTTTAAAAAATCTCCTTTTTAAATAATTTCCTGGATGTTACCCAGTTATGAGGCAAATATGATTGCCTGGAGAGAGAGGGGAGGGGCTTTGATGCTACTATACAGAAACTGCATAGCTTTGATTCATCTAACACAGGACACCAAAGTTCCTCTCTTGCTCCAACAGGTATGCCAAAACCACTTTAATTTCTGTATTTATCTGGAAAGAAATCTAGTACAATATAATAAAATATAAGCATTAGGTATGGACCTTAAATCTTTTCAATGGAAATTGATACAAATTTGGTAGTTATAGGATGAAATCAATGAAATTGTGCCATGATTATCAAACGGACCTGTAGCACTGTACTACAGATTAATAAATCAAGATTTAATACAGTCTCATGCAAGTTTATTCAGAAATAGATCTCATTGATTTCAAGACCCAAAGGTGCTTTTTTCCAAAAGGCAAATGGACGTTTTTCTTTGAAAACATGTCACTTTTCATCCAAGAAGCTTCTTCAGTTCTGACTGGTGGGGAATGGAAGGATTTACGTTCTTTCCAGTCATCTGGTTGTTAGCACTCTGAGGGTCTGCCATTAGCTCTCTTAAAGTTGTTGAGATCACTTGAGAGTTTATCTGTATCCTCAGAGTGCAAATAGGTGTGAAACCTTTCTGGGACTGCTGAAAAGATTGCATTATAAACAGGAGATAGGTAGTGTCATATCCTACCCTCTATGTTCAACTTTAATAAATCTCACCTTTTTTCTGCTATCTATGAATTCTACTTGATATTCCAGTAGCCTCTGGGACGTTTCCATTATATTATTCAGGAGACTTTGTAGGGTTTCTTGCAAAACTAAATTACAGAAAATAAATAAACTGTATATACCATTATTTCATTATTCTAGTGTAGATTTTATTCCTTGTTTTAAAATAACAATTTTTTAAAACAGTATTTTTTATTAAACAGCATTCTACTGTTCTTTAACACCACTAAGATGTTAATCTTTGAAATATATGGCGAACATAGTCTAAACATGAATTTTCAGTTTCTGCCAAATACTTCAAATAAAAATACTGAATTCTCATGATATCACTTGTGCTCCCACCTGCACTCCTGTCTCTTCCCACTTAATGGCCTAACACGATTCTACGACAGCATATGGGACTGCATCATTTAGCAGGGACATTTCAGTTCCAACTGCCGTAAAGGTCTACCTGTACTATATGAGGACAGGGGAAGCTGCAGAACATAAAAGGGATTTCGTACTTCCATAGCATTTTTTCTTCCCAGGAGAAAAGGCAACTTTTGGTAGGGGCGATTTGCAACTTCCTTGCTGGCTTCCCCACTGACTTTACTTATGGGGGGGGGGGCTAACAGGGAAGATCATAAATGGTGATCATGTGACTGTGAAGTGCTGCAATGATCAAAACTTTGCAGACCAATTAAAAGTTTCACTTGTTTAGCCTTATCCTAACTCTGAACAGTCACTGCATGAGTGGTTGTGGTCTGAGGACTTCTTGTAACTCTTAAATTCTATAAACTTTTATTTAAATAAGCCTTGTGGCCAGATACAGAAGTACACAAGAAGAATTCACTTGGAATTACCTTGAGAGTTTTCTGCTGGCATTAATGCTGAATTAGATTGATTTCTCTCACCAACATCAAGTTCAGCAGCATTTGAAAAAATTTCAGGAAGAATTTCATGCACTGACTATAATAATAATAATAAAAATCAAGATTATAGTTTTATAATTGATTATATCTATCCACCTGGGGAAAAAACAAAGCATTCATAGGAATACTATTTTTCATTCATTAAGAATCACAAGATAATTTTATTACAGGAAAGATCGCTTAGGTAAGTGCCTAAAAGATTCACCCGTATTTTCCCCAATCCTCATACTTATTCTACAGCCTAACAATATTATAAAAATGCATGGGATACCATTTAACATTTTGTAAGATTAGACCAAGAATGAAAACACAAAATTTAAACAGTTCTAAGGCAATTTGTTCTTGACCTTAGTGAGCTTTGAACATTCTTCAACTACTTTCTTGCTAAGTTCTTCCAGATGCACCCATGCAGACTGGTCTTTTTCATCTGTGGAGACAAATTATCACTGAAATATTTATTTTAATAAGTTTTATTTTAAGAAACTATAGGTATGGCCTAAGGGGAGAGAATCTACTGGGAGAGTATTATAAGAAGCTTGGAATTCCAAAAATAATTTCCTTCTGGTTTATCCATTTACCTGTTTTTTTATTGTCCACAATCTGATTTTTCTTTAGCTCACACAACTCTTGTGTATGACGTAGCTGGAGCTCTTCTTTAAGAGCAAAAAGTGCACTCTCTTTTTCATTTTCCATATATTCGCGCACCTGATTCACATGCGCTGAGTAAACCACAGAGAGACAAATACGTTGGGCCTCCATCTGCAATTTTAAATCGCTCTAGAGAAAAAAATGCACCATATACATATTTTAATAATCATTTTATTCCCCAAGATGTTAAAGATATAAATAATCTGTTGCAGTCTCACATTAAAACTGCATGCTACCTTAATCTGCAATTTTTCAAGCAGTTTACAACAATGTTCGATTTCAGCAATATATTAATCCAAAACATCCAAGATAATAATACTTAATATTTTATAAATTAATTGAAGACTTCAAAAGCAAGGACAATAAACCTTTCTTGCCTTGTAAATCCCAGTGACTTGTGGTGTTTGATTTTTCCCAGCCATACTAGGATGTTGCTACTGTTGTTGAATGGAATAAGAGTACAGGAAGAAATTATTCCTAATAAGCCTAGGTTGTTAGAAAGTGGGCGTGACCAGAATTCCCTTAAAGTGTAACAAAAATGTCCCTTCAAACAATCAAGCAGCAAAGTATTGTCTTTTCTGGTCCTCCTGATATATGATATGGACTCCATAATTCAAGAAGCAATCCTAATGACAATATAGTGAAATATTATATTGTTCTTTAAAGTAGATGGTTATATTTCAGTCTATTAAAATAAATTATTATTATTTTTCTGGTTTTCAAAGGCACACTGGAATATGCATTATGTCATTGGTAAGACAGACTGAATATTTTCAGTGTGCTTTGAAAATTTCCTGAAGCGAATATTCTGCATTTCTACTCTCATTTCTGCAAATATTTAAGCCTCTAATAATTAATTTTTAAACAAAATTATGTAGTAAATGCAGGTGGCTTGCACCTCTCTTTCTGTCGTACTGAACAATGTGGTTTTTCTTTTTTTCCACTAGAAACTTTCCAATTATTAATCATAATAACATTTATACAAGTTCCAACTGACAAACCCAACCAAGCAAACACCTTTGAGACATTCCAATCTCTTAATGTAAAACTTTATTGAGTACATCACTTCGGCACTAATGAAAACAAAACAAGCTGTGGCAAGACTGCTCCCAAACCCATATAGTAAAAACATTGAATTCTCCCTTCTCCCTCTGGGTCAGGTCACATTGCCCAATGAAATAGAAAAATATTGTTATGAGAAAGCATCTTTAGGCCTGGCCAGACACCTGGTGTAATGTCCTTGAGTCTCAGGGTCTGGCTTCTTAAATCTTTGAAATCTGCATTCCAAACCTGTCCCCTCCCCCTCAAGTTTGCTGGCAAGCTGAGAAGCAATATTTGTCGCATCAGCAAAACCGTGTTTCAAAACTTGACAATTTATTTATTTTTAGTATCATTGTGAATGCTAAAGACAATAAAACATTCCTTCAATTCAAATTAACATTTTTTAAAAATTAAAAGATCTAATTTCTATTCAGATCTTATTATTACATTCAGTAATAAATTGAAGTATCTTTAGTTTCCATTATGTTCCTTTAAGAATATCTGATCTATAAGAAGGAACATAATAGAGATTTCCAATTAAATTCTTCATAGCCTACCAACCACTATTGGGTACAAAAACTACATGCTCTATTTTTTCAGATGAATAGTTATGTTTAAATCTTATGTCTTTTAAATCTTATGCCTACATCATCCTATAAGATCAAATAAAATAATATTCTAATTTTTGGGAAGAGGTAACAGTCAAATATATATTGATAAATTCTAGGTTATTTTATCATTTACTTGAAATTGATCATGAGAAATACAGTGAGGGAAAAAATTATTTGATCCCCTGCTGATTTTGTATGTTTGCCCACTGACAAAGAAATGATCAGTCTATAATTTTAATGGTAGGTTTATTTTAACAATGAGAGACAGAACAACAAAAAAATCCAGAAAAATGCATTTCAAAAAAGTTATACCTTGATTTGCATTTTAATGAGTGAAATGCAATCACCCCTATCAATCAGCAAGATTTCTGGCTCCCAGGTGTCTTTTATACAGGTAATGAGCTGAGATTAGGAGAACTCTCTTAAAGAGAGTGCTCCTAATCTCAGCTTGTTACCTGTATAAAAGACACTTGTCCACAGAAGCAATCAATCATTCAGATTGCAAATTCTCCATCATGGCCAAGACCCAAGAGCTGTCCAAGGATGTCAGGGACAAGATTGTAGACCTACACAAGGCTGGAATGGGCTACAAGACTATTGCCAAGCAGCTTGATGAGAAGGTGACAACAGTTGGTGTGATTATTTGCAAACGGAAGAATCACAAAATAACTGTCAATCTCCCTCGGTTTGGGGCTCCAATGCAAGATCTCACCTCGTGGAGTTTCAATGATCATGAGAACAGTGAGGAATCAGCCCAGAAATACACAGGAGGATCTTGTCAATGATCTCAAGGCAGCTGGGATCATAGTCACACAAAAAAACCCAATTGGTAACACACTACACTGTGAAGGACTGAAATCCTGCAGTGCCCGCAAGGTCCCCCTGCTCAAGAAAGCACATGTACAGACCCATCTGAAGTTTGCCAATGAACATCTGAATGATTCAGAGGAGAATTGGGTGAAAGTGTTGTGGTCAGATGAACCCAAAATCAAGCTCTTTGGCATCAACTCAACTCGCTTTGGAGGAGGAGGAATGCTATCTATGATCGCTGTCAAACATGGAGATGGAAAAATTATGCTTTGGGGTGTTTTTCTGCTAAGGGGACAGGATACCTTCACCGCATCAAAGGGACGATGGACAGGGCATTGAAAATGGGCCGTGGATGGATATTCCAGCATGGCAATGAACCAAAACACACGGCCAGGGGAACAAAGGAGTGGCTCAAGAAGAACCACATTAAGGACCTGGAGTGGCCTAGCCAGTCTCTAGACCTTAATCCCATAGAAAATCAATGAAAAGAAGGACTAGGGATAACATGATAGCAGTGATCCAATATCTCAGGGGTTGCCACAAAGAAGAGGGAGTCAAGCTATTCTCCAAAGCACCTGAAGGCAGGACAAGAAGCAATGGATGGAAAGTAATCAAAGAGAGAAGCAATCTAGAACTAAGGAGAAATTTCCTGACAGTTAGAATAATTAATCAGTGGAACAACTTGCCTCCAGAAGTTGTGGATCCTCCAACACTAGACGTTTTTAAGAAGAGATTGGACAACATTTGTGTGAAATGGTATAGGGACTCCTGCCTAAACGGGGTTGGACTAGAAGACCTCCAAGATTGCTTCCAGCTCTATTATTCTATTCTATTCTATTCTATTCTATTCTATTCTATTCTATTCTATTCTATTCTATTCTATTCTATTCTATTCTAAACTTGAAGGGTGGCATAAAGTGACAGGAGAAAGTGCTCAGTGGACATTGATAAAACTGCTATTTTGGAGGCAATTACTGTCTATGTGAGGCACATTAGTAAAAGCAAAAGAAAGAAAAACCCATTCTGGTTCATAGCAGATGTGTGTAGGATAATAAAGGAGAAAAAAAATCAGCATATAGCAGATTACAAATAGTGGAAATGTACTGATAGAGAGGTGTTTAAGAACCTACAGAAAGAAACCACACAAGTTATTAGTGCTACTAAAGCATAGAAAGAGGAGGAACTGGCTAACTGTATTAAAAAATGGAATAAAACCTTTTTAGGTACATTAGCGACAGAAAGAGAAAAAATTATGCAATCACGAAAATAAAAAACGCAAACAATTTTTTTGTTAAGGAAAGCCTGGCAAAAATCATCTAAACAAATATTTTTGCTCATTCTACTAAATGCCAGTAACAAAAACAGGTTGAAAGATCACACTAGTCCTAGCAGCGCAGGTTTTTTTGCAAGGTTTTTAGAGATGAAGGTGGGTGTGAGCTAGCCCACTTAAAGCTTAAGAAAGTAATGAGTCAGGATAATACTCATCCCAGAGTTCTGAGGGAACTTCTAGGTGTGCTTGCTGGACCATTAACTGATCTGTTTAACCAGTCTCTTCTAACAGGTGAAGTTCCTGAGGACTGGTGAACAGTTAATGTTGTACCCATCCACAAGATAGAGGCTAGGGAAGAAGCTAGAAACTATAGGCCTGTGAGTTTATTGTATGCAGAGGTGAAGTTAATGGAATCATTCCTGAAAAAAAAAAAGATTAATGAACATTTAAAAGTGCACAACTTGATGCACCCAAAGCAGATTCAGGGGCGGATGAGGACAGATCATATCACATTAAACTAAAAAAACTAAACCTTTTTAAATATGTCACAAATGTTTTAGATGAAACATGGTACTGTGAACATAGCCTATCTAAATTTTAGCAAAACATTGATATAGTTCCACATAATGAGCTCATTAAAAAGTTGTACAGGATAGGGCTTATCCACTAAGTGGTTTAGTGGATAAGAAGGGTTTTTTCTGCCATCAGTTTTCTGTGTTTCTATGTTAATATGTCTCGATTTGCCCAAAATACCTGTGAATGAATTTCACACATTCAAGGAAAATCATATAAAACAGATATGTAACTGTACATCCTCAAGAGAATGCCCTTATACAATAAGTCCTTATTAGCACATATTATCCTACTGAGAAGGCATGCAGAAATATATATATTCATGCTTTCATATATGTCGATCCATACCTGTTCAGTTTTCAACATGTCCAGCTGTTCCTTAAGCTTGTTTTCGCTTTGCACAAAATCCACACACATAGTCTCTCCTGTTATGTCACGCATTTGATTAAAGTTATCTAACGGTGATTCTGGTTCTGGGCTTAGTTTTTGTTGAAGTATCTCTTCCACTGGAATGCTGTGAATCAACAGCTCACTTGGTATTAATTTTCCTTCTTTTTCTCCTATTGATTTGTCAAATTTCTGATTGAAGTCAGAAATAAAGTTTCCAGATTCATTAGACTGGTCTTTGGCTAGTTCCATACTGTAATTTTTTGTTTCATGTTCAAAAGTGTTCTTATTTTCCTCCAATTTGTGACCAACTACAAATTCTAATTTTTTACATCTTGCTGAAATGTGCTCTTTATCTTGTTTTAGGCACATAACTTCTGCATTTAATTGGCAGATTTGATGATGCTTTACTTTTAACTGTTCAGAAAGATCAGAAAGTCTTAATGAAAGTTCTAAATTCTCATGATGAGCAAGCTCAAGTTTTTCCATAAGTTCTGTTGTGTCTTTTTCTATAACTTCCCCAAAATCATTTAAAACTTTTTCTCTCTTACTGTGAAAAACTGTACTTTGAGTTTCCAACCCAATAGGAAAACCTCCCTGTAAATGTTGAATCTTTTCCACCAAAGCCTGGAGTTTGGTTTTATATTCAGCTTCATTCTTGTTCTTGCTTTCTTCTAATTCCAATTTTACCTTTAAAAGAGAATTATAATTTTCTTGGAGTTCTTGGTAATCATGTTTAAAATTTATTTCAGCAAGTGAAAAAGAGTTTTTTAGTGTATCAATCACTTCCTTTTGTTTAATGTCTTGTTGTACAAGTTTTTCATTTTCAGCTATTAATGTGTCTATTCTTTTTTGTAAATCAAAATCCCCTGAACTGGAATTGTCACTAGTTAAAATCAAGTTCCCTACCACATTCTTAATTGTGCATTTATTTAATTTCTCTTGCAAAGCCTTGTTTTCACCTTCAAGTACAGTATTTTGTGCTTCAAGTAATAAATACTTTTCTTGAAGACAATGTGCTTGCTCTTTCATTTGTTTCTCAAATAATTCTGTTTTAAGTTGCACCTCCTGAATCTCCTGTTCAAGTACACATTTTTTCTTTTCTTCCTGTCTAAGAACTTCTATCTCTTTCTGGAGGTTATTTACCAGAAGCATCATTTCTTCGGAGTTAGTATTTATTGTAGGTGGATGTAAATCTTTTAGTCTTGCTATTTCTAATGTGAGTTGATTCTGATTTTTTATTAAGTTATCATTTTCAAATTGCACAGCTTCTATTTTTATGTTCATTTCATTTTGAAAATCATCTAATTGCTGTTTAGCTTGCATAGCCATATTATCTTTAAGATTTTCAATATTTATTTTGTGTTCTATTTGTAAATCATCTTTAACTTTTGATAATTCTTCTTCATGACTGAATAAAAGCTGAGTTCTCAATCTCTCTAGTTCTGCTTCTTGAGATTCTGCCATCCTATCCAAAACAGCATCCTTTTCTTTTTGCAGCATTTCAAGTTTTATTTTGTAGTTGGTAATTTCTGCATCATGTTTCATTTCTAGTTCTTCCCTGATCTCTGAAGCTGAAGCAAGTTGAGCTTTTAGATCTCCTATAGTGATTTTTAACATATCTACTTCTTGCAATTTGGATTCTTTTTCATTTATAGTCTTTTTAACTCTTTGGATCTGTTCTCTTGCAAAACTCAGTTCTTGACAAAGATCTTCCACTTGATTTTGAAGAGAAGATTTTTCCAAGGATAACAATTTAACCTGTTTGGACAATTCTTCTTTTACTTTTTCTTTTTGATAATTAGCATCCTGAAGCATCTGATTCAGTTCATTAATTGCACTATTCATTAAGTGCATTTGGTCTTCATTAGTATTATCAGAGTATAGCTTCTCTAGATCTGCTTTTTGTTGGGCAAGGAGCTTTTCAATTTCTGCTGAATGTTCTCTGATTAATTCTTGTTTCAGTTGTACAATTTGCTGGCCATGAATTTCTTCCAATTCTGCCCTAAGGTCTGCAAGTTTCCTTTGGGCTTCAAGTTCCATTTTTTCTTTAATATCATTCTCATGTTGGGTATCTTTGTGAAATCGCTTTTGCAGTTCTTCCACAGTTCCCATTAACTGTTTTATTTCATCAGAGCATTGTCTTTCTTTTTGTTTAGAAGTTATTAGTTCAAACTTCACATTATCCATCTCTTGATTTTTTTCAAAAGTCGCTTCTTTTAATTCCTCCAGAGATTTCTCAGCAATTGATAATTTTTTCAGATAAAGAAATACATTTTCTTCATGTTCTATACATTTTGCTTCCAGTTGTTCAATAGTTGTTTGTTGTTCCTGCATTTTTTTCTTTGTAGAACAATCTTCTTCATCTTTCCATTTTTCCTATAATAAAAACAGTTACCTTATTTTATTTACTTTAAATTTCTAATGTGTTGTACTTTTATATATCTCAGATTTCTTAAGTTCTGTATTACCATGAAAAGAAACTATTGATTTAGAGTTAGAAGAATACATTACAAAAAAGTCAATAAAACGAGTACAGGATTTGGATTCAAATAGTACATTAAATTCTGAAACTGGGTTTAAAAAAGAAACTGTTCTGTTTGATAATACATGTCTACTCAAATAAACTACATTATGCTTTAATATGATAATCTTATTCTTAAAATGGATTTTAAAACAATGGCTAAGTTTATATTGTGTATCTATAAGTGACAGACAATTGTACCATTTTAAACCTCTTTTAAACAATAACTATGACAAAATGTATAGCCTTAAAATACAGACCATGTCCATGATTTTATGTTGCAGAAGGGAAACCTGCACTTCAAAGTCTTCATTTTTCTTCTGATAGTTTCTCAACAGCTGCTCTTGTTCTTCAAGCTGTTGCTGATAGGCAAATATCTGTTGCCTAGCTTGTAATAAGTCAGTAGCTGTACTGCTGTGACTAGTGTTCCTTAAAGTTTCACTTGCCTGCAACTTATGAATAGAACAGTGTATTAAGAGGCATTGTTTGAAAAAGTGGCTTCCAAATTAAGCATTCTCAGTAACATATTTTTATTTCTCTCGCACAAAGGCATATATTTTGCATTTTAAACAGAGGAAGCATTCTTAAAAGATATCATAAAGAGCAAGATATTAGCAATCCCATTAGTCCCTTTTCCTTCTGAATTTTTATAACTTCTCTAATACAATCAACCATATATTTTGGAATTACAAAAGATAAAGAAACTTCATTCAGGAAACCTACGATTAGTTGATACAGAAAAAAACTGGCTACACTTTCAGATATGTGCATGCAATAAAACAAGGGTCCCCAAGCCCTGGATCCCAATCCACTAATGGGCCACAGCCTGTTTGGAACTGGGCCATGTGAATGGATGGCTGGTGCACAGGTGCATGTGTGCAGCTTAACTTATATGAGCAACGAGCTGGCATGCATATGCACAACTCGACTTGTATGAGCGTCAGGTTGGCACACACGAGCGCAGCTTGATTTGTGTGAGTGGTGGGCTAGCACATATGCACATGTGCTCACATTGGCCCACCACTTGCACAGGCCAGTTCCCTTCTCTCCCCCCCCCCCCACTGGGCTGCCAAGCCAGAAAGGTTGGGGACTGCTGCAATAGAATGTTGATAATATAATTAGTTTAAAAAAACATATTGATTAATCAATTATGGTCACAGACCAGCATTATAAATAAAAGCATTAAAAACAACAACAATGTATCTAAACATAGATATCTAATACCAAGCCTATTAAAAAATATTTCCAAGACATTTTCAAATTAATGTAATATGGTTTCCCCCAAAGCAGCTGACTTATCTTAGAAAAATATGTTTCTAATATTTTCAGCAAGCTATCTTACATTTATGAATCTACTTAAAAAAATAACTTAGTTCCTTTGATATAAATAACTAGCATTTAGCATTAATTTCTGATACTTTCTTTCCCTTCACTGGATATAGAAATGTGTATGTCCCTTTTTAGTCAGGAGAACACAGAATTCTTCCTAATGGCTCAATACAATATAGACAGTGAGATGCTCCTAACTGATCTGAATAAACAAATAGCTTTTGATGGGAACCTTGCTGAGTTTGATTCGCTGTCCCCACACTGGAAATATGTTTACTTAGTTCCTCCTTGCATTTCACAAGACTTTGAAAACCATATAAATTTAATAAATAAATAAATATAAATTTAATAAATAAATAAATATTGTTCAAGCTTGTTTTGCCAAATTAGGAGAGATTATCTTTTTTCTTATTACTTTTTGAAGTGTTTGATGTTTCCTGATTTATTGTATACTGACCAGATTCAATGTAGTGATTTATAACTAAAACAAATCCTGAACACAGTCTTATCCATTCTTTTCCACCTCAAGCTGTTAAATAAAAGCCCAGTTTGATCAACTTGCACTTCCATTTTATCAAAATAGCCAAACCACTGTTTGTGAACTCTCTAAGTCAGCACTGTTTTTAGCTCATAATTCTAATTTGAAAGGCTCCCTTAAAGTAAAATTTTGGAATTTGGATAGAATGAATGGGCCATTATTCATAAGTATCATTTGCAAAGTCAAAGTTTAATATGAATCCAGTCACTGAACAATATATAAAATCAGAATTAATCCATTACCTCAAAAATGGGTCTGCCTAATGGGAAAGAATAGAAGACGATAGAAACATATATATTTTTCCTTCAATAACTGGAATGATTTAAGAATTTTTTTTTAATTTTAATACAATATTATCAGTACTTACATGCTGAAATTGAATTTGCAGTTTTTGACTTTGTTCTGTCAGTTCCAAAAATTCCCTCATAGTTTCATCTTTTTCCATCCTGGCTTGCTGCAGATTAGCAGTGAGTTGGGTTATAATGTTGTCTCTTTTTTTGATAGCAGTTTCAAATTCCTGCAGCTAGAGAAAGTTATGTTAAATATTAATACCATTTAAAAGGAACTTTATATCAGGTCAGATGAGTCTTGGATGCATACAAATATGTCCAGAAAACACAAAAATTAAACATTTTTAGTATAAAGACATCACAGTATATTCTCTATAATGTAACATTATCAATGGGGAATAGGGCTTGCTGACTTTCTCCTTGATGGTTGTTGATTAGGGTTTCATCAAAGAGAAAGCCACATAACTACAAAAACTATCAGGGCAAGCTAATATAAATAAACAACCAGCAAATCTCATTGGTACCATATAATTTATCTAGCCTGGCAATGAAATATTTGCAAGAAAACAAAGCTCTGAGAGTGCTAAGAATTCTATAGTACAATGCTGAGCTACATATATTCTCTTTTATATGTATAACAGAATATTGATTTCCTTGCTAATGATATTATTTTTACCAATTAATACTTTAAAATACTAATATAAATACAAGTGTTTGTCTCGGTATAATTCTAATATTAGTAGCTTATGAACACTTTTTTACATTTCTAAAAAAATTTCCAAGAACTGATTTTCAGCACAAGCCCCAAATAATTTTTTAATGTTTGTAAAAGAATATGGGACTGCTTATAGTTATACTTTTTATACTCTCTTGAATAGATCTAAAAAACTTCAATCATCAAACAATTAGCAATCATTCAAATATCATGCTCCAGAAAGATAAAACAAAAGGACAAATGGGGACAACGTTAAAGAAGAAACTGAATCCAATGAAAATTACTCTGTTGGATTGAAATAAATATTGCGACATATGCAAGACATATTTTATCAGTGAAAGAAACTGTTTTTCCAACAATCAATCCAATGCAGTTTTAAGTTGGAAGATGCCTTAGTTTCTCTTTCAGAGCTTTAAATGAGCAAAAAATGAGCTAAACGTTGAAAAAGCAAGCATAAATAAAATATTTCCTTCCATCAATTGTAGCAGATGGCATAGGATAATGTAAATGGTGACAGAGAAATAAGGAAATGGTTTTGCAATATTAGACTACAAACTGGAATCTCTACTTAACCTCATTTTCACTTTGAACATGTTCAATTTTCTCACTAAAAAAGCTAGAAAAAATGCTAAATTAAGAAAATCAAGAAAGTTGTATTGTATAAGTATGCAAAACTAGAAAAGAGATTAGAGTTCTTTTTAAGAAATAGATTCCTGCATTTTTAAATCAAGCCAATAAATCATTTTAAAAAAGTTTTTACCCTTAAACATTCTCTACATTTAGCAAACATCATAACATATTATACATTTCTAACTCATAACAATCAATTATACTCTTAGTTCTCTATACCTGCACTTTAGTATATTATGGTATTTAGTTTCAGTTATCCAAATTATACTGAAACTATTTTCAGGCCTTCTTTGATGAATATAATAAAACATAATTGTGATACTAATTGGGCAAACAAAAAGCAAGATATCAAAAGATTATATAGCAAGAGATACAGACAGTCCTCAACATATGATTGTAATTGAGCCACACTTTTGGTCATAACCCTGTCACAGTTGTAAAGTGGGTCATTTACGTGACCACATCCAATTTTATTATCTTTTTTTGTGGAAGACATTAAACAAACCCAATTTGTTAAGCAAACTGTTGTTCACTCTGGGAAAGGTTTTGCAAGAAACTGGAAATAATTGCTGGTTTCTGGCAAAAATGTCATAAATCACAGTCAACTGCAAGATGCTGCAAACAACCATAAATATGCCAAGAGCCAAAAATATAATCACATGACCCAGGGGGCATAGACATTGAAACTTTGAATCCGGATTGTAAGTCCCATTTTAGGGGTTCATCATAACTTTGAACTTAGCTTAGTGACTGGTCATAAGTTGAGGACTACTTGTAATGGAAAGATGAGAAAAGAAAAGCACTGTAATTACATCCTGGTTTTTTAAAATTCATATGCCCAAAACTTCAGTAAATACTTTCTCTTGCAAATACCATATGAAATTAACACAATGATTTTAAAATGTTAATATGTTTAATGTTTAATATTAAGACTTATAAAAATCTTGTAAAGGAAGTTGTTTTTCATTGAGTGTTTATCTTTCATTAAAAAAACAGATATACTGCAACCTAGAATAACAATGTTACATTATAAATTTAGTAAAATACAAACATCTAAGGTGGGATAAAATGCACTCTGAAAAACTCCAAGTTTTTCTGTTACTAGAAATTACTATTAAGAGTTTGTAACTTTCTATAAAGAGAGCAAATTTAGTATAAGTTACTCATAAAGTAATAAAGTTGGGATAGAAATCAATCAATCAATAAATAAATAAATAAATAAATGTTATATCATTCCAGATGAAATAATTTAAAGATAAAGGTAAAAAACATAACTGCTTCAACAAATCATAATAAGTATCTATGACTATTACTAATTATTCATACATGATATAACATACATTTTGGATGGCCTGGGACCCCTTATAACCTCATTATGGAACACTTCTTTGCTTTTAAGGATTTTATGCTGTGTATATCACATATCATATATTACATTTCATTCTTTTATCAGAGAATACTTATATTTTCTGGAATAATATTTTGAACGACAATGAAGGATAGAATAGGGGTACAGAGAATCCAATTGTTTTACAAAAATAAGACAACTCAGATTCTGACAAAACCCTGGCATACTTAAAACAATTTAGGCATAAAAATAAATATTCACAAGTAGGCTATCACAAAAAATTACTTCAGCATCTTCCACAGTTCAGATCTTATTCTAATTTAATTTCTGATCAGAGTGTTTCTTTTATCTTTTATAAAGAGCCCATGTGGTGCAATGGTTAGAAAGCAGTATTGCAGGCTAACTCTGACCATAGCCTGGAGTTTGATCCTCATGGGGCTCGAGGTTGACTCATCCTTCCAAGACTGATAAAACGAGGACCCAGATTGTTGGAAGCAATATGCTGAGATTGTAGACCTGCCAGAGAGTGCTGTAAAGCACTACAGAGTGATATGTAAGTCTAAGTGCTATTGCTATTGCTATCTGTCTGTTCACAAATGCTCTGGGTCACAAAACAAAGCACCACAAAAGTCTACATCATTCCATAAGTGTATAATGGCTAACAGTAAACATAGATCTTATAGGTGCATTTTCTGAAATCTTCCTGTAATTATTGTATCTATCATAATTTGAATAATAAAGGCAAAAGATATAATCTTTATATAAGAGGAGAGAAACCAGATATAGTATGAAAAATGGGATAAAGTTGTCTACTTTGAAATGCTATTTTCCATCACTATTTCATCAATAATCCAAAAGGACGATAAAGAATGTATACACATACTAAATATGCACAATAGCAGTGTAATGTGCACAGAATATTATATGTATACATTTTTATGGTGCAGACATTATTTAATTTATACTGTATACAACCCATCTCACTATCCAAAATGATTCCTTAGTGTTCTCCTAAGAACTAATCCAGAAATGTAATTGATTAGCATAGATTTACATATTATCCAGGTTCCAAGACATGGATAAATTTTATTGCACCATTACGTTATCAACCACCTTCTTGATTTATAAAAGGAACGCTAATTTCACTGCCCTTTCTCTAAAAAACTAGGGAATATTCTAAAAAAAAATTAACCCTATTATTTTTTATAGAATTAAAGTCAAAACTCATTAAGAACTGAATCAAAAAATGTGGAAGCTGAAGCAGTTATACCAATACTTTTAATATTAGTATCAGTAAATGAAACAAAAAAATGAACATTTTTAGAACTCAGATTGTACCAAGCATGCAGAAAGCAACATAAGGTAATTATACCTGTTGCAATCCATCTGTACCATACGCTGCCCTCATTTCTTCTAGCTCTTTATTTAGCTCTTCAATCTCTTGCTGCTTTCCAGCCAATTCATTCTTCATCATCTGCAGTTCTGTTATAGTATTCTGCACCTCATGATCAGTATACTTCTCTCCAAATTCCAATTCTTCTTCCTAAACCAATTCAAGGTTCTTAAACCCAGCATGGTACAATATTGTTTTAAAGTGAAGATATGTAAAATATTTATTTTTTTGCAAAATGAGACAGTACTTTACAGCAGTGATTCCCAACCTTTTGGGCACCAGGGACCGGTTCCGTGGAGAGAGGTTTTTGCACAGCCTGGAGGGGTGTGTGGTTTTGTGTGCTGCGGCATCCCATGGAGCTTCGACTGTTTGTGTAGCCTGGTTTTTGGCATGCCGCAACCCACTGCCAATCCACATACCGGGGGTGGGGGACTCCTGCTTTAGAGCATTGCTATGGAAACTAACTTTATTAGTATAGCTTGCTGTGCAAGAGCAACAACATTATATTAATCCAAATTAAATTTTAAAATTTGTCTTCTCAATAGTGTAAAAATGCAACAGAAGGATAGAGCACATAAGTTAGAAATTGTTATGGCATGCAAGTAGAAGAACTGCAGTTAATAGTCTTAATTCATTTCTCAAAGCAAATCATTTAGTGTTTTAGTATTAACTGCCATGAATTAATGTAAATACTGTACCCTAATAAAGTCAGAAGGTACATCAGTTCTTGTCAAAAAATTGCCACCATTTATCTGCATGAGAAAAATGTCTATATAGGTTACACTTTAAAATACAACTTAGAATGTAATTGATGTCTACTTGGAAATAACTACCTATCCTCTAGTAAGTATACAGTAGTCTCATTTTTACTCCTGATTAATTATACCTCCATTTTACTTAATCAACACAAGGAAATACTCGTCAGTAAAGTTAAATGACAAGGTCATTTCTTGAAATATCTTTCTCCAACAAAGGCTTGAAGGATGAAAAAAATGTGTTTAAAGGATTTCATTAAAAAATTAATTTTTGCAGAATCAGGTTCTTTTTCCTAATGCAGAATTATGTACAAAGGCTTGATAAAGATATCGTGGATAATTTATGTATTTTTAAGAAGAAAATACTTCAAGGTTTCCATTGCAATGTTAGCACAAAATGTATTTCCACCAAAAAGTAATACAAATCTAATACAGTTTCTCATCTAATTTGGGGGAACTAGAAGGAAGAGTTATAGAGGTGGAACCATCTAAGCAATACTGACAAATCCTCACAAAGCTAAATTAGGTCAGACCCAATTAGTAATACAACTGAGAGGGGGGGAAACATGGAAGAAATCATTATAAGCCACTTCCATACCGCTGCCAAAAAACTACATAGAACACATTCAGGTGATCACTAGCAAGTGAACTTAACTTGAGGGTAAACTTACTGGGCATCATTCTAAGACCCAAATGGAGGAAAACAGAAGTGACAATTATAAGTAACTTATATTTTTGAAAATACATCATAGATTCTGTTATTCCAAACATACCCAGTATAACAGCTGATACAAAACTCCCAAGATTTTCAAAAACTTGAATTCTGAATTGAGGAATAGAATTTTATTTGTTGTGTTGGTAACTAAAACCTTACCTAAGACACTGAAAAACAGAACTCAAGTAAATTGAAATATTAGATATTTCAGTTAAATACTGAAGGTTAAATACTAAATGTCCGATATGAATAAATTGTTAATACAAACATATCAGAAACAACTTATCCCTCTCACAATTTATCCCTGTCTTTTTGGATCATCTTATAGCTTCAGGGCCTTACATTCCAAGTTATTGCTGTGCTTATTCAAATATTTATGCAAAATGAAGCACAACAAAAAACATGAGTTATCGAATATTTGACAATGCTGTATTAAATCATACACTTCAATGTACAAATTTTCTGAAGTAACCTTTAAGCAGTAGCCCTGCTTGCCTATGGGGGAAAGGACAGACGTGTCAAATCCTTGTTCTCACCATGATCCCACCATCTTGTTTGAGCAGTTATGGATACAAATAGAACTCTATGAAGTCCATTAAATAATTTGACAGAGGATGCAAAAGATGTACTCAACAACAACTTGTATGGATGAGTTTCTCCACACAGTCTTTGTGCCTTGCATGAGAAATAGTCCTATGGGTGAAGGAACCAATATGAGTTGGACAATGGCACAGAATATGGAAAAGTTTGGGTTTCACTACAGCTCTGTAACCTGTATTCAGTCAGCCACGACTGTCAATAATAATCTATCAATCTAGATCACTGGTGTCAAATTCGCCACGTCACGTGATGTGTCACGTGATTATTATTATTTTTTTGCATTGCCGGAGCTGCGATGGCCGCAGCCTCCGCATGATGCAACCGGCCTGCGGGCTGGCAGTTTGACACCCCTGATCTAGATAGTAAGTAGAGCTCATTAGGGAAATTCAAGAAATTCAAGAAATTCAAACTCTAAAGAACCAATAAGGAATATGAAAATTTATATAGACTTAATTTTTCCTTTGTACTTTGTTTTCATGGAAAGATAAGAACAGGTTTATCCCAGCTGACTTAGAGGTAAGTAAGTAAAGTCCTAAGTTTCAGTGATGTAGAAGCTGGAGAATCAAGAATGATATAACTATCTAAAGAGCAATGGAGTTAAAAGCAAAGTAATGTTTTGGATCTGCCTTTGTTTCATTTTATTATATTGTGATTTATTCCCTTCTGCTCTGTCCTATATGAATATTCCTTAGTGGAGAAGCAATTAGTTTAGAAAAACTTTTTCAAGCTAATTATTCAACTCTTTTTGTTTTTTGTCCTTTGTGGATTCTGTTGGTTCCTTAATTTCAATTTCAATTAAACAAGGGTTGGATTTCTTTGCTGAATCAATCCATTCTGAAAGGTTTTTAACTTTATACACTTCCTGCTAGGCTGAGCTACTGAGAAATGTCAAAGGAGACTTATCCATACATTAAACCACCGCAAAGAAGTACTAAAGAGGGTGTTGGCAGCATACTTAATAAGCTGCTCATAAATGTATGGGAGAGTGTAGCAAGAGAATTGTAAATGGAGGTACCAAGAGGACCAGTCTATCACATCCCTTCTCATTACAATGTTCCAATGCTTTTATATATGCATTATAAAAATTATATATCGTTATATGCTTAATGTATTTATGCTCAAACAGTAAAAGACACATTCATACCTAGTACAATTAGAGTATATGTATATAATAAAATAAAATTTCTACAGGCATATAACTATATCTTTATGTGCATTTATGCATGTGGATATATATGTAGTGTATGTGTATTGTATACAGACATATTTACACATCAGAAAATAGTCCAATAATATTTGATAATTATTGATAAATCCACTTTTGCAAAGCTATAGCATTTTATTTAGTCATAATATTTCTCCTAAAATTATTTTTACGAATACTTATTTAGATGTGTATTGTAGATCATCTTTCACTATGCTGATTTTATAAAATGGTTCACATAAAATAAACTGACATAATAAAAATAGAGCATAAATAATTTAAAGCAGCATTTATAAACTATGCTTTTTTTAAGCAACATATAAGACATCACATCTTACCTCTGAGCTGTAATCATCTGCTGGAGTAGAAATCTCACTTTCTAGCTAAAACAGAAATAAAAATACATGATTTTTTTATAGTATTCTAACATAGGAAGATAATGAAAATCTTCAGTATCTTGAACAACAGTTGCTAGGCAGCATCTCTTATTGCTAAGACTGCTTAAAATTAACACACATTTTTAAAAGGTGCTTATATTGGAAAAATGAAGCAAAATGTAATGACTTGAATAATAAGGCTTGAATAATAAACAAAGATTACTCTTGGCAATTGGTAATTTGAATCTCTCTTGATATTTCTTTCCTGGAATTAAATTGCAAGAAACCTTTTGGAGCCTATAATCAAGTTGAAACTTGTCTTTGGGCTTTAGGAATCATTTTACCTTACTGACTTTGGGCATATTTGAATCTTGGTACAAATCTTAAGTATAAACTAACATTACAGAGAATTCAGTTCACAATGGGGACATTCCTTAAAGCTGACTGTGATACTACATACAATTGCAGGTGGAAAAAAATTCTATTATTACAGCCAAACTCAATAAAAGTAGTTTTAGCTTTTCTGTGAAATTGATTTCCTGGTCTAGTTTATCTAGTGAGACTAAAAGTTGGGCCAGAACATGTGTTGTGCTTGATATAAACTGCTCAGATTTGTTCAGCAGTTTGATGGTCTTCAAATCCAATAAAATAAATATTAAAGCCTGGTCCTTCTTGGTCTCTTGCTAATTTTGATGCCATCAATCATGGTATCCTTCTGGACCAGCACAGGGGATTGGGAATGAGAGCATGGTCTTGATGAAGTTCTCTTTCTGCCTTTAGTGCTGGTTCCAGTTAAGTTAGTATAAGTGGGAGAACAGAGACCTCTTTCTTCTGGGTTCTTCAATCTCCTTGCTGTAATATTTACATTAATATTTACATGATGCCATTCGGAAAGGTCATCATCCAGCAGCATGAAGTTAGGTGATATCAATATGCTGACAATATCCAGTTACATATCTCAGCTCTAAGCCAACCAAGTGATGCTGTCAAGGTTCAATTTCAATATTTAGAGGCTAGGAGTTTGGGTGCAAACAGATTTACTGTATGCTCAACCCTTGACAGAACAAATGGCTGTGAATTTGGGGAGCATTCAGTTCCAGAGATCTTTCACAGTTGTATATAGGGTTATGCTATCCCAGATAAAAGTGGTATGTAATTTTGAAATCCCTATAGATCTGTGGTTCCACAAACCATCTTGTGTGATAAGTGCACTCATTTATGAATTGGGGGCTCTATTCACAGTCAGTGGCATTCTAGTTATGCTTGATCTGGATTATTACAATGTGCTTTACATGTTGCTATCCTTGAAAGTCATTTAGAAACTACAACTGAATGTGTAGTTGTTCAGTAGAATGTGTAAAAAATTGTGGCAGCATGAGTTATAGGTGTACATGTGCACTCTTATGTAACACTGCAAATATGTAAGTCCACTGATTGCCAATGGAGGTCAAGGTACAATTCAAGGTGTAAGATAAGATAAGATAAGATAAGATAAGATAAGATAAGATAAGATAAGATAAGATAACCTTTATTGTCATTTTTTTTTTACTGTGGGCACAACGGCACACATCAAAAATGAGATTTAGTTGCCTGCTCTCAAAGTGAAACACATACATGACACACACATATATAGACCCACACCCCTATATATACATAACAAATAAATATTAAATATTGTCCATCTTGAATATATAACGGAAGGAGGAAGCTTGAGAGTTCACAAAGTTAATGCTGTACGGAATGAAACTATGGCTGAATCTGGATGTTCTGCTTCGGATATCACAAAGTCTGATAATTTTCAGGATTATCATGGTTCAGTTATCTCTTCCTATCCAATATGACCCAACAGGATTAGTATGCTCTGGATTCTATAAAAAGCCATGCCTTTTCTGTTGCAACACCAGTCCTCTGGAATTGCCTTCCCTTCCTCAAATATGGTCTGTCCCAGCCCTGTCAGCCTGAAGATCTGTGTCTTCCTCAGGAACTGGTTCAATTATAACTACAGGTAGTTCTCCACAACTGTTCATTTAGTGATCATTTGAAGTTACAACTTCACTGAAAATAATATATGATCATTTTCCACACTTACAACTGTTGCAGCAACCTCATAATCATGTGATCAAAATCCAGGTGCTTGGGAACTGGCTCATATTTATGATGGTTGCAGTGTCTCAGTGATCACCTTTTGCAACCTTCTGATAAGTAAAGTTAACAACCATGTTACTAACTTAACTATAGCGATTCACTTAACTGTGGCAGGAAGGTTGTATAATGGGGCAAACTCACTTAACAAATGTCTCACTTAGAAACAGAAATTGTGGGCTCAACTGTGGTCGTACGTCAAGGAGTACCTGTATACTCGTATTTAATGCTTTTAACTTTTGTTAGCTATCTAAAGGCTTCTGGCAAGTGGGCAGCTGGATGGATGGATGGATGGATGGGATGGGATGGGATGGGATGGGATGGGATGGGATGGGATGGGATGGGAGGGAGGGAGGGAGGGAAGGAGGAAGGAAATGAACTTTAGCTAGAGTAGTATATGCTAGTAATATTCTGTGGGAGTACATATCTTGTGAATTTATAACTTAATTAGATAGGCAACATTTTAAAATTTCACTTATATTTCTCCATATTTGTAAAGTGTTTGTAATTGTTTAAAAAAATAAACAAAGGATAAATTTATATTAGTCAAAATCTGTACATCATAAAGAAGTTGTTCTCTAAAATTACTATTTATAAACTGACAAATACTAACAAGGTTGAGAGTATTTTCACATTTATAGATAGAAACATCTGATTATTTTTATTATTATTACTATTGTATTTTTGTGTCATGTACTAATTTGATCTGTGAGGACCCACAGAGGATTTCCAACAGACATACAGGTAGTTCTTGTCTAACATCTATTTGTTCAGCCAATGCTTGAAGTTAGGATAGAGCTGAAGGGACTTACAACTGATCCTCAAAGTTCCTAATTGGGCCGTTCTTTTGCACACTAGTGAAAGCTCGGTATGTGAAAAAAGGCAACCATCTTTTAGATTGAGCTTCTTTTATGAAAGAAAGCCCTGGGTCCCATGTGAACAGAAGCCCTGGGCAGGGTGTGAAACAAGTCCTAGCTATACCAGTATGAAAGAAGGCAGCATGAAAAAATGTCCTGGCAGGTGTGTAGTGCGATGGTGGCAGTATAGCTGGGCAGCTGGATAGGCAAGCATCTAAAAGGACAGAGATGGAGTTAGATAGATAGGTGGGGAAAGTTCAAGAATATTATTTTACTGAGGCTCAGTGCTGGAACAGACCAAGAAGGAATAGCTTGGTGAGGGTGGATCCCCATCTAATAATCAATGGGATTCCCTTAATAATAGCAATGGAGACTGCAGGGGTTGCTAATGTAAGTAGTAGTAGTAATGTAAATACTACCAGTGTTTAGAAATTCCAGTTACAATTATCATAATTTGCATGCATTACATTGCAATAAAACCAACTATTAACTCAATATTTACAGATTGTCAATAACCAGTAATATTTCCAATAAACATCAATGTAGAATATTATTTTGTGAAATCCTTTTAAAATACCACAAATTCAATAAATTCTACATAGATTTATTATTTTTAACAATATTTATAATCTGTCTCAATTCTGTCAGACTCTGCGCTATAGCCTCTTATGGTACTGTTTTGAGCTATTAATATTATGGCCCTTGTAAAATATAGTGGTTACTAATAGCACTACACGAGAAAATTACTTGCTCTTACTTTTGAAACGAAAATGTTTGAGAATGTTTACAACATTTAATTTACTACACCATCTATCAATAAATAGGCTCAAAGTCTAACTCTAGTTTTTTTTGTTTTTTTTAAAAAATCTCAAAGTCTGAAACACTTACATCTGTGGTATATGTTTGATTATCCTTGATCATTTCATCAGTGTGCAAATTTCTCACTTTAACAGATTCAGATGTAGCAGCTGCTCCTTTTTGAAAGTTATGTGGGGATGCTTCTTCTGTTTGCAATTGGTTAATATCCAAACCTTCTTGTATCAATTCTTTATCTTTGACTTTTGATATCTTTTTCTTCTTTTGCTTCTTAAATGCATGCTGCCCATCAGAGTATGCTTTGCGTTGTCTAAACTGTGCAAGCTGAACATAAAAGAAAATCCTGTTAGACATGGGCATTTTACAGCCTGTGGGCCACATCCCGCCCTTTAACTGTCCCTGTCTGGCCAAGGCGGCAGTGGCAGGATGGCAGAAGGATGGCAGCAGTGGCATGGAGGTAGCAGCCCTCCACAACAGTCCCAGTTCGGCTCTTTGGGAAAATTGCCAGCCCTTATGTTTGAGTAAAAGATTTCTAATATATTATATATGAAAGTATTTTTTAAAATGCATGGTGTTCTACATAAACTTGCAATGTAATTGTAGGTTAATACAGACTAAAGGTCAATTCTCGCTTAATTTATATACAAAATGTGAAAATAGCATCAGAAGAAGTTGTAGTCCAATAAGAGAATCAGCATATATCTTTAAATCTTCAAAGTAGTCAGTAATTGCTTAGAAATAATTCAAAATAAATTCAAAGTTAAAAACTGATAATACTGTATTGTTGTCAATTTTTATTTCCCTTCCAGCCAGAAACAAATATATGATACAAAAGAACAATGAATCTGAAACCTTAAAACTTTAAACAATCCTAATCTGACTTTATTCTTACGAATGTCAACATTTTTTAAATATATATCAAATATATATACCGTAAACAGAAGCAGACATCCTTACTATTTGTGAGTTAAAAAATATAAATGTATCCTGCCATTTGAATAAACAAAAAAACAGTCCAGAAAGAATTTGCAGAAAACAGAAAGTATTTGCAAATCAGGCACAAGCTGATTTGCGTTATGTCTCTGAAATAAAATAATTTTTGCAATCTCCTTCCCTAGAGTACTGATAATCCAGCATTTGGCTTCTCTCCCATTCACAGGAGGATCTTGAGATTTGTAGAACAAAAATATTCACCTATATATTTAGCCCTTGCTTCCTATTAGTTTTATTTGCCTATTAGATTACCCAATTAACTAATTTATTTATTAGGTTTTTATGCCACCCATCTCCTCTGTAAGGTGACCCTGGTCAGTTTAGCAATTTCTAATTTTAAAATAGCAACATTTATTTAATGAAATCTTATGAAAGCTGAAGTATTTCCTGGGGGAAGGGAGAGAGGAAGAAAGACAGGAGAAATTTCCTTAGCATTCTTTCCAGTGACTCCATTCAGCTACCTCCATCAAGCTTAGGGTAAACAACAGTAAACACAAGAGACGTACTTTCATAGCAAAAGACTCTTTCTATTCTCTGAAACTATTGTTATCATAGACATTTAACATCAGCATAAGCAAAAGCCTGCAAATCTACTCATCTTAATCTTATTAATTACAATTGCAGAGACATTTTTTGTTATATCAGATATATTTATTAATTACAATCAATAAATGGATACTTATCTTTATGTGACTGATTCTCAAGGTCAAACAATCTGATTTTTAAATGACTAAATAAATGAATTTAAATTTTAAATGAAGACTTGGTTGCATATTTAAAATATCTACTATAACTCAATTAAATTCTAATTAAAGGTAGAATTTGACTTTTTAAAATGTTAATAACAAAAGAATGGAAAAATATGACTATTACAGATAGTCCTTAATTAGCAACCATTCATTTAGTGACGGCTCAAAATGAAAACAGCATTGAAAAAAGTGACATGGCCGTTTGATACGATTGGCCCTTTCCAGGGTGATTTGCGGAACCGGTGATGTACGATAGTCAGGCTGACTATCGGGCCTCGCATGCGGCTTAAGAAGACACGGACAACATCTTTCTTTGGTGAGGTGTGTAGAAGCAGGAGCGAAAAGACCCCTTGAGTTCTTACGCACCTACTTTTATTCGAGTATAGCAGGTATGGGAGTGG